AGGAATTCACGGAGTTCCACTTCTTGAATATTTTTAGCTTGCCAAAAATTGCTTTAACAATTTGACATTAATACATTAACTACCTCCAGTCAGAGAGACCCTCTGCCAGAAAGTAGAAAAAGGGGGTTACAGGAGTAGTAAAGGGCATAACCCTTAAATATATAGCAACTCCAGAATATGAGGAAAAATCACCCCTCAGTGAGGGGCTAGGTTTCCTCAGAATAACTACCCCCTATTCAATAATCAGTGTAAAGGCTTACAGAATAATAATGAACTTTATTAAAGACAAAAAAGGAAAAAATAGAATCAAGATACACATGCACCCTATAAACTAGGGAGTTAAAATCCAAATCCAAAAATACTGCAAAGATATACCTCCGGCTAAAAGTGACTAGAGGGCATAAATCCCTGACAAAGTAGCAACTGTTACACAAATGTAGCTAGTCAGTAGTATTAATCATCTCACATGAGTGAGAGTCAAAACAAACTAACAGCTATGACAAAACATTACAAAGTCACTGTAGGGAAATATAGCCTAAAATAGGTCAAATAATGCCAGAGAAGCAGCATGTCGTGCCCTAATATAGTGGGACAGAGTGGGTCATATAATAAGTATTCCTATTTACACCAAAGGTATCTTATATTGCAGATATACATGTATACGGGTTTGTAATGCTTGCCAACCACTAAAACGACCCACTTATCCCCAGCAATTATAAAAAGACAAGTCAATTAGCTATTGGTCTCTTAGATAGGGCACAAAACCAGCTGCCAATGCGGTCACCTAGTAGAATATTAAGGGTTAAATTTTACTACCCCTGTAACCCCCTTTTTCTACTTTCTGGCAGAGGGTCTCTCTGACTGGAGGTAGTAAATGTATTAAAGGACCACTATAGTGCCAGGAAAACATACTCATTTTCCTGGCACTATAGTGCCCTGAGGGTTTAAACTTACCTTTTTCCAGCGCTGGGCAGAGAGCTCTCCTCCTTCTCTCCTCCTCCGTTCCGCCCCGTCGGCTGAATGCGCACGCGCGGCAAGAGCTGCGCGCGCATTCAGCCGGTCACATAGGAAAGCATTCATAATGCTTTCCTATGGATGCTGGCGTGCTCTCACTGTGAAAATCAAAGTGAGAAGCACGCAAGCGCCTCTAGTGGCTGTCAATGAGACAGCCACTAGAGGATTGAGGGAAGGCTTAACCCATTAATAAACATAGCAGTTTCTCTGAAACTGCTATGTTTATTTAAAAATGGGTTAACCCTAGCTGGACCAGGCACCCAGACCACTTCATTAAGCTAAAGTGGTCTGGGTGCCTAGAGTGGTCCTTTAATGTCAAATTGTTAAAGCAATTTTTGGCAAGCTAAAAATATTCAAAAAGTGGAACTGTTAGCATGTGGTACGGCCTCGCTTTCATGCTGTTAGATAAGCTTTTCAAATTATTTTTGGATAAACTTTTACATTGATTTATTATTTTGAAAAATATTTTGTAATATTATGATGGTTTTAATATATTGAAATATTTTTATTATGTATGATGTATTTTTTATATCTTAAGGTTTTGAAAAAAAATGTTTTTAAAGTTTATTCCCCAAAAATTAATCATTTGGAATGTTTATCCAACAATGTTGCCGTCGGTTTCACAGCAAATGAGATCAATGATAGAAAGTACAAGCCTTAAAGTAATTTCGAGGAGACACCGAAATTGGTCAGAGGTGTGGTAATTACTAGTGAAAAGACATGTTTTTGGAGTCTTTAAAAGACCATTTGCAATGAGCTATGCTTTAATGTTTCTTGATTTCCAAGTTCTCTCCATTTATTTGTAACTGGTAATTTTTGTGAGTATTATTTCAAATAGTGTAATGTATTATTTCAATGAGATTATTATTAATTGGCTTCAAGTAAGCATGTTTATTTATATCTATAAACGTCTTTTGTAAAACTTTGCAGAGTAAGTTCTCATTTGTCTCTAGCATCTGAGGATACAGTTTTCCGAGTTAGGAAGTCAAACCACGTCTTCTATTAGTTTATTGAAAGTCACGTTCACAGTCATGTAAACGGGACTGTGCATATAGTTCATCCCGGTTGCTGAGTGCACATTCTCAAAGTCCCAGCTTAGGTTCTTTCACAGAGCACAAATTTTGGGCCATAAACAAAATTCAGCAATACAGATAAGGGAGATATGACTCTATTGTAGAACTAGATAGTAGATGCAATGATCCAGGGTACCATCGGTATCCCTCCTAGCCAGGTCCAAATTGGTGGAATGAGGATCTCATTATTAATTATTCCGGTGTTGTGAGTTTACTTGTTTTTTGCACACAGGGGGTATGCAACATCCACAGCTTGCGATTCACCAGTATAGCAGCAGTCTGTATGCTGTACATTGCAGAATGGATTTTAAACCCATATGTGGGGAATAGATAGATAAGAATTTTTTAATAGCTATTGTGTTTCAGTATTGTTGCCTTATTTTTTACTTCATCGGTTAGGTCCTATACATCTTACACACAGCGCAGACTGCAGCTCTTAAACATTTCATCCATCTGCAGGATCCAAACATCAGGTTCTATTGTAGACTTTTCAGCCACCTTTGCAGTTTTTCACATGATTTTTGTGAGTGGTTTTAGTCTTATGAATTTATTAAAAGTTGTATTTTTACAATGAGCACTATGTTTTTATTTTTACTCCCAGGCACCAGAAGATTTTTTATAGCAAGCAGTTTTTACCTTACACTGTCTTACTTTACACTGATAGTATAGATTTAAATCTACAGTTTTTTCTAGTAAGATATACTATGTTGTCACTAGCGTCACGCCACTTTGTGTTGTACATACACATGGTGAGAGTGCATTCACCCTTATGCGACATATTGTGGACTGATCAGTTACATCCCGACTTCAAAAAAGTTTTGTGCCACATTGTGAACTTACTATTTACATTTGGGCTTCGTTTTAGTTTTGCACTTTATGTAAATCACTGGCTATTAGATATATGTTAGTCTACTGTAGATCCTGGATTATTTACTTTATTAAGTAAGTGAGATTTTATATTTGCTGAACTTTTTCCAAATGTCTGCAGTTAGAATCAACTGTATGCAAAAACGCAGTGATGGAGAACCCATTTGCACCATAACAACTAGTACCCTTTAATTGTTTTTTTTTTCTGCTTTGGATATGGCTACTTATTTTTCCAGGTTTGGAAGAACGATGTAAGGGAAAGAAATTAAAAGACCACTAAAGTCATAAGTCATATGACATTCCATGTCCATGAGGACTTTGAACGTCATCAAGTACTTCTCATAGGAAAGCATTGAATTCAATAGTTTTCTATGAGAAGTATTTGATTGGATGTGTGTGCGGCACTCTCCACACATATGCATCTTATCACCAATGTTCCTCTAAGAGGAGCATTGAATTGGACCAGAACTTTAAAGGCAAGGCCTCCAAGATGACATCACAGGAGGAGGAGTGGGTAGCAGTGCCAAGGAGTCTTGACATTAGAGAAATGGTAAGTAGAAGGTTTATTTTTCATATTTGTACTGCAAACGTGGTGGGGGTGGGCTTAAAGCACTAAGATAGTAAATAGTATAAGTTATAGTCTTCCTTTAATTATATAGGTGTTTGCTCCACATACCACTAAATTCAGCTCTACTAAGATAAAATATTGGCTTAAATTTGTGTTTTTGGTAAATTCATCAAGTAAAAATAGATGTAGGAGGCAGATCCATTGTAAAAAGTAATGTGAATAAAGTGCTGCATAGTTAACCGCAGCTGTAAATATCAGTTCTTTTATCTTATAATTTTTTTCCATTTCCCGTAACATATCGAAACGTACACTACATCTTCAGTTAGACCATCAGGCGTCTATTTTCTTGAGCGTCTCAATTAAAATGTGTGCTCATTATCAAGGTTGCATTTAACCAAGTTTTATTAATTAAGCTAGTGTGTTACTGCAAATGGAGCAAACAGAATAAAATATTATATTAATTAAAGAAAAACTTTCTTTTTGATTTATTGGTAGAAGCATACATTAAATAATGCTAGTAGTTGGGTGGTGTAAAACAAACATGTATCTTTACACATGCATATTTTTATGCCTTCCTGCCAATCAGAAGTTGTGTCAGAGATAGATTCTGTTGGGACATTCTGAAATTCAGCAAGTTATGGAACCTTGTATAAAAAGGGTCTCTCAAAACAAACTGCAGTGAGAGACTGTTGGCAGCCTATATCCTTCTCACTGATACTTGTTAGTGCCCTGTTAGGGTAAGATGTTGTATATATTTTTTAAATACACAATTTTATTCCCTCACTTGGTAATAACACCTGCAAAATACATTGAATAAATCTAGTCTAATAGTATAGGTAACAAAACCTAGGATTGTTTAAATATGTCATTTTATTTATTTTATTGATCATTTTTTATTTTCAGTCCACAAAATTTTACAGGTAGTGCACAATGTAGAGAACAATAAGTATTATTATTATTATTATTATTGCCATTTATATAGCGCCAACAGATTCCGTAGCACAAGTAACAAGGTTTGAGACATCACAATACATTTGTGCCTAGCCACGGCAGTAGCAGTTTGAGCATTAAGGATTAAGCTTTTACTATATTTTATAAAACTAGTAACAAGATATATAAGCTGTAAAACCGTGCCAACCAATCCCCACAGGAGCTTGTTAGGTGGGTCAAATATTACAGAAGGGTGGTCTAGCGTTGTGCCTCTTGTCATAGTAAAGACATAGGATGGGAGTGTAGCCACTTAGTGGGACAAGAGGCTGATACCCATTGCTTTGTACAATGACATATAACAGGGCTAGAGAGTGTGGGTGGGGGAGATAGAGTATGTGGGATTATGGGAGAGAAGTGGTGTGTGACGTGCTACTGATAATTGTCATACCAACAGTACTATTGTATTTAACAACAGATAAAGCAAATAATAAACAATAACAAAAGAGAGGAAGCTTTGTTTGTTGAGGATATATGCACAGCTGGAGTGTTCAGGCCACAGCAGTGGATGCTGGATTTTCCCGGTTGGCGGCCGGCACGAACGGAAGGACCCTGGCAGGATCCCAGGCTGTATGCCCCAGAAGTGGTCCTGGCTGCTGTTGTTCTCCGGTGCGCATAGACAGCCCCAGTGTGTGCAGAGTTCCGGACACTGTAAAGGCATCGATAATTTTTAAAGTCCCAGTATCGCGGGGAACCAGCAGACTCCTGGGAGAGCCCCATTTGTTGGGTATCTGGTGCCTTATCAACTCGGCAGTTAAGAGTCGAATGGACCTCCGCCAGACCATTGTGGCTCTGGACAGATCTGGGTAGAAGGTTAGTGCGTGTTCCTCAAAGTGGTAGGGTGACTTGTGACGTACCGCCGACATGAGAGCCTACCTGTCTGACCCGTTCTGGAACCAGATTATAACATCTCTGCTGGTTCCCATGGTGCCAGATTTCAGTGCCTGAAGCCGATAGCAGATATCCATCAGCATGGCCTCAGCTTGTTTAGCCTAAAAAAGGTTGGTGAGTAGACTCCAAAGGAGTTGTGGTATTTCTGCTACTGTTATGGAATCTGCCAGGGCCCCGGATCTTCTCGTTTCCAATGCCTGCGGTCCTCCATGGCCGCCATGCTGTGTTGCATAGTGGCCTGTTCACTTCTTATTGCCATCAGCTCTTATTGAACGCTAGTGAGGCGGACCTCGTGGGCAGCAGTTTGAAGTTCAGCGACCTGGAGGCGCACCGACACCCCATTGATTTCCTCTTTAAACTGATTAATGTCAGAGGCTATATTGCATCGGAGATCAGCTAAGAGAGCCTTCTGTGACCGGTGAATTGCCAGATTTTATTAGAGGTAAGTCAGCTCTCCGCTTTGCAACAGGTGTCTCCTGCTTCCGCATGTTGACAAGGGATGACTTCCCTAGACGACCTGGATGGCCTGTCATAGAGAGGCGCCATGTCTGGCCTCATGGGATTCCGTTGTCTCCATAAAAGATTGCCAATATCAGCAGTTGTCAGAGGCTTATCTGCCCTATATTTCTTGTTTTTGCGTCCCATCATATGAGGTATTGGATGCTCACATTTTGGGGGAAGTATCACTGGATAATCAGGCAGCAATATCAGATATTTTTCCCTGCTGGTTCGGAGCACCATCAACACACTAATCAGTATGGCTGCTGGCTCCGCAAGTAGGCAATTCAGTCTGCGAACACTCTGCACTGGATTCAAGATAAGTTTTAATATAAATTCAGGGTGTAATTCAATGAAAAATGGGGGGGGCGCATACATCTAAATAAAGAGAACACATAAAGAATTAACAAGAGCATTTAATAAAATTTACTTTAGATTCTCTTTAATATTTATTTCTTTTTTTAAATATTTTTTTAAATAAAATGTAAGATTGTTAAATCAAGGTCAAATTGAAACAAGATAGATATTCAAGTGTTTTGTTCATGAATCACCAAAGGAAACAAGTTAACTTTATCTGGACTGTCACTAGATATTTCCTATGTTTACGCAAATCTGTAAACTAAAAGTAACTGTAAATGGTAATCATCTAGGCCTGGTTGGAAATCACCAAATTACCTGCAGTGACTCACTTTCCTGGTCATATTCTCAAAACCTCAGACAGGGTTCTATGAAATGTGCATTAAAAATGGGATTTGCGATGTTAATTATGAAGAATGAGTGTATTTTTTTTATGCTTTTGACCCTGGATAAATAAAGCTAATGTCTGTATCTGAATGGATTGAGGAGACATGGCACATCATAAATAATCCTTAAACTCTCTGATGATCTGGATTTGTTTACTAAATGTAAGATAGCTCCGTTGATAGATATATCAGCTTCAATATTGTCTGAAAAAGTGTCTGTTACTTGAAAGGTGGAAGAGAGATGTATTGACGACATTCTTGAATGTAGGTCAAAGGAAGGTCATGGCGCTCTCTCTAAAAGACAGATCCTATTACATGCATAGCTGAATATTTTATATATACTTTTTAAATATGCCCTAACTGTAAATTAATAAATCTATATTTTTTTTACTCTGTAATAGTGAATATATCGTTTTTATACATTGCAGAAACATTTTTATTTCCATTATGAAATATAATTATTTTTCCACAGTACTTGGTTTAAAATGCCATTTTCACATATATTGCCAGTTATAAACCAAGTCAGCGGCCAGGCATAATGAATTTGATGACTATACCTGTGTACGAAGTTTGTGCCTTTGTGCATATAGTCAGAATTCACATTCTTTCTCTGATATTGAGATGTCATAATTAGCAATTGTTTGTGTTTGTTGCTCAGCAGAATCCAGCTATATCCTCTACAAATATTGTGAATGGATAATGTGTAAGTGATGTTACCATATTATGTAATGCCAAGCAGCGAAGGTGGGCTTTAGGTTCCTTGAGTGTAAAATCAAAAAAGGTTTGGAAGTAATAATTGAGGGAGGTTTTTCAACTCATAACCCCATGCCCTCTAACCGCTACAATAAATCCAGGTAGCTATAGTGGTTGGAATAGCACTTTTATATATAAACATTTCACTGGAGGCATCAATGGACAAATTTGCCTTACGTACCAACGTTCCTAGGTATAGTTATCAGTGGTGTATCCTGGTTTTGTGCTGCCCTAGGCAGGACAAAACTCAGGCGCCCCCCGTGCCACCCCCACCCAACCCTTCCCCCGCCCCACCTTCTAAATACACACACACACAGTCAGACACACACAAACACACAGTCAGACACACACACACAGTCAGACACAAACACACACAGTCAGACACAAACACACACACAGTCAGACACAACACACACACACATCAGTACACACACACACACAATCACCACACAACTTTTTTAATTTAAACCCCCAACCTTACCTTTGGGAGTGACACATACACACACACACAGTCACACATACACAGTCAGACACACACACACACACAAACACACACACACACAAACACACACACACACACAGTCAGACACACACACACAGTCAGACACAAACACACACACACAGTCAGACACAACACACACACACACAGACACACACACACAGTCAGACACAAACACACACACACACAGTCACAAACACACACACACAGTCAGGCACAAACACACACAGTCAGACACAAACACACACACACACACAGTCAGACACAAACACACACACAGTCAGACACAAACACACACACAGTCAGACACACACACAATCACTCACATTAACTTTTTTTTTAATTTAAACCCCCCCCCCAACCTCCTTACCTTTGGGAGTGCTGGAGGGAGTGTCTCTCTCCCTGGTGGTCCAGTGGCTGCCGGTCGGGCTGGGCGGCGCTGGCTGCTGTGCGGGCGGCTGGCGAGGGAGCACTTCCTCTGAGCGGTCTGCTCAGCTTCCTCGCGCGCCGCAGAGTGAGGCTGGGAGCCGGAAGATGACATCATATTCCGGCTCCCAGCCTCACTCTGCGGGCGGCGTGCGAGGCTAACTAGGCATTTACCCTGGGCATTTGGGGGGCGGCGTTTTTTGCTTCCCCCTGAAAAATGACGCCCGAGGCAAATGCCTTGTTTGCCTCGCGGCTAATACGTCCCTGATAATTATAACTGTCAAGCCACACAATAAAAGTGTGAGATAGATAATATGATAACATTGCACTCAGTTGCACCTATCTTTCACATGTTGGCTGCATCTTCCTAGATATGCTGATTCTTTGATGTGTGAGTGCGGCACATATATATAAGAGAGAAAACAAGTTCTTACAGACAACAACCTCTGCCAGGACTTCTTAAGTCCAATGCCTGAAACCTGAACATGCAGTGAGTACTGCTGGCAGTCAACAGAAAGAGCAGGGATAGAATGTTTATTATACCCCTGTTCTTTCAACCCAGCAACCGGCACCTAAGTTTAGACTTAGTCCTAGCAGAGATTACTCACTAACAAGACTTACATTTGCTATATATAAGCAAAGATAAAGAGTGATGAATATATAGACAGGGAAAGTGACTGCTGGGGGAGGAAAGTTCTGGTCGGGAGACCGTAGGAAATACACAAGAGGAGAAAGTGGGATATGGAGAGAGTGAAAAAAAAGAGAAGGATTATTGGGAGAGCAACACAAGTAAGGGAAGATAGAAACATAGAAACATAGAATGTGACGGCAGATAAGAACCATTCGGCCCATCTAGTCTGCCCAATTTTCTAAATACTTTCATTAGTCCCTAGCCTTATCTTATAGTTAGGATAGCCTTATGCCTATCCCACGCATGCTTAAACTCCTTTACTGTGTTAACCTCTACCACTTCAGTTGGAAGGCTAATCCAAGATGTGGGGAATATGGAAAGGTAGACAAATGGTGGTAATGTGAATTTGGGAGTATAGTTTCACAGATGGAGAAAATGGGGTGAAGGTTGCATTTTAGAATTTGAAGGGCATTTGGAATTTCTCCCCGGAATCTTATTTAACCTGAAACTTACCGCAAGGCGTGTTCATGGAGTAAATTTCTTTCAAGAGTTCTGGGCCATTGTACAGCAGGAAAATTAAACATTTTCTTTGGTTATAATAATTGGTTCAAATAATTCAAAGATTCCACTAATTTAATTGTATGACCATCAAAGAGACTGTAATTTAATTTTTATTTTAATTGTTTTTGTAGCTATTCTTTGTAATGTTGTACAGAGCTGCAGAATGAAAACATTGGCACTCTGTATATATTAATAATTTCAAAAAGTGACCCTTAGGTGAGCTTTTAATGGTTCAAATGGGTATAAGTGGAAAGACATTCATTATGTAGTTGTTTTTACAGAACTAGAATTGGTGTCAAAGGGTGGCAGGTGAGGATTGGTTGAAAAGCATTGTGGGACATGTCCTTTTCAGAGAAATTTCAAAGTAATATAGTCATGAAAATACTGTTTGTTCAGCAGGAATATGTGAACATTATTATTGGGCAGATTTGTCAGACTGCAATTCTTTAAGTTAGAAATATTCGTGCCTCTGCTATTGTAACACTCGTCATTATTTCAATGTTTTTCTTTTTGTCACTGAAAATACCAACATCTATGATTGAAGACATGTACATGAATAAAGAAAATAATCAATAGTGAAGTATGGATAGGATTAAACCTTTTTCTGTTTATCAAGTTAGTAGAAGTTATGGTTAAAAGCTTTTGAAAAATACATTGTGTAATTGTGATGAAAATTAGGAGGTTTACTACTGGCAATGGTGTCTAGGTTTCAGTTGGTTAATTAAATGTAAAAATAAAAGTGTCTTGATTTCTCAAAAAAAAAATCATAGTTTTGGAAAATGGTTTCAAATGAGATTATATTTAGAATTGTGTCGAGTAGACCTCTGGGTGGTGGGCCAAATGGAATGGTCACACAGGCAGACCCAGAGACATCTCGTCTGCTGGTGGATAATCCTTTGTGTATATTTCTGACCACGATGCAGTTTTTCACCAAACAGCTGTTAGAAAAGCAGGGAAGGCACTGTTTTACAT